TTGGTAAAATAGGACAATGGCAAAGATAAAAATGTAAATTATGTGCAACATATCTTTGTTTATCCCAGCAAAGTAACAGTAAAAATTAAAGGGGAAAACCATGGTGTTTGTAATATATTCTATGTTGGCACCTTCTACACAGTGGCCAGTGTTTGACTGAAGGTAACTTATATGTTAATATCTAACTGAAAAGTCACTTATTTTATTTTATTTTGACAAACTAAAATGGTGGTATATTTTAGTGAATCAAATTATAATATATTTGTTAGACTTTTCATATATAAGTGAGTGTTACAGTATTTCAATCTTGACTGTGGCCCCGTGCTGGCATTAGATGGACTGAAGTTGGTCCAGGTACCGTGGGGAATCTGTTTATCTACTGTAATTTTGTATCTACTTAGAAATGTTGATCCTAATCAGAGCAAGCAGGGATGTAGATCAGTTATTACATTTCCCAATGCCTGGTATACACAGTATGTCTGGCATGAGAATTGTTTTAAAATTCTAAAATACGTGGTCATTAGACCCAAAAACAACACTGCATTAAAACAATGCAGGTGGCTGCATTGGTGGACGTGTGTTGCTTCCGGTACTGTCAAGATACGGTAGACAGTCCAGGTGGGTAACATATTAGTGAATCTGAAGGCTTATCAGATGCCAGAACACTGCACAGGGGTTTGTAATATTCTGAAACTGTGAAACGTTTCCATAGTAGCTATTATCGTTTTCTGAAATGAGTGTGCGACAAACAGTATAAATATATGATGCAAAATCCACCAGGAACGAGTGTTTACATGTGTGTGACTGGTCAAAGCAGCACCTTGCCAGATGATGTTGCAAAGCAGCAGAAGTTGAAAATGGTCTCCGTTTTTTTTGCCAGATCTCTCCGTGCGTGCAGCCTCACTGCACTACCACACTGGCCCCATTCAAACAGAATGACAGAGGTAGATTCAGTTTGGAATCTTATGTAAGTCATAATAAATGCATTCCAAACATGCTTTCTTTTATACCGTATTTGGCTGAATAAAATCGTGGGAGCAAAAGCTGCAAAGAATTCCACACTATTGGCCCAAAAACCTTACAGATTTTCAATACTTAAGAGCAGACGAGTTACACCTAAAAATTTAAATTGAATATGTTGCTTGTCTCGGCATTGGCATTTCAGCTGCTTCACAATCACCTGACTAAATATAACTGTCTACACTGGACACGTAGCAACTCATGCTTTATGCAGGTAACAGCAACCTAAAGCATCATTTAGGTTTCAAGTCCATTTCATGTGTGTAACTGCAGTGATTGTTTATTGGGCTACAAGAGCTGTCAAAACAACACTATAGCTGAGGTCTGCTGCTGCTGCATTGTGAAGCATTGCTTTCACTTTGCAGTCTGTGTAAACAAGGCATAACTAGACTGATTTTGTAGATTTTATACATTACTTTCAATTTATGAATTATTAGAAGATAAAGTTAATGGTGATTAAGATCATGGTGACAAACTAGTACATGAGAAAGCATAACATACGATTTCACACTAAAAACACAAGTTCAAGAACATTACTCACAATGCAAGGCTGGACCTACTGTAATAAATGCTGATAATGATGCCAGCTGTAGTGTACACAAACATATTCAAGCACATAACATAAACCAACCAATGGGAGTAGTCAAAATTTTATTTATATATTTGTGTGGCAGCTGCTCGTGACGACCCACTCTTGTTTTCATTGTCCATCTGTCTCCTCCATTTTTTCTCTTGGTTATCCGTTTTCCATTTTCCTCCAATTCTCCAACTGCTGTTGTTTTTTTACCCCTGTGTGAGTTCTGCAGAGGAAACAATGTACCACAGTGCATTCTTCTGGTACCATGATGAATGGAGAGAATCCGTCCCTGTTGACTGTGGCCTTGAGATAAAAAATAAGTAAATGAAAACTGCATGCCTGCCATGCTGTACCCTAGAGTCCACGGCCACCATTCCTCATGCTAATTTGATTGAGAATGCACGATCAGCACATACTCCTCAACCCACACACCTTTGCTCTAAGAAAGGTGTTGGGTAGAGGTGTGGGGGTGGGGGCGAGAGCTACAAGGATAGAGGATGCCATCATGGTGTGCAGTAATATCAATTTATCTCCAGGACGCCTGTCTCAGCATATGACGTTCAAGTTAGACCTATGTGGGTAGTTTACATCAAAGTGAAATGTGGTGCTGCAGGAGAGGGCAGGACAGAACGGGAGACGGGAGGAATAAAGAAAAAGGAGATATATTTAAAAAGGCACGGTGGGGTAAGGAGTGAAGATGAGGGAGTGTATGAGGTATTCAGAGGAGAAACACTAGTGATGGAGGGCCACTGGGTGGGAGAGGGAATAAAAGATGATGAGAAAAAGTACAGAGAGGAGAAAGGCGAGTACTTAACTATCTCAGTCTGTGTTCTCACACTGCAATTAATGTGGAGCCAGAAGGACAGCCTACTCCTTTTCTGCAGTAAAACAAAACCAGGATTGATGAGATTGTCTGTGATGCATAAGTGACTGCCCGTGCACTGGCTCGCAAGGAGCAAAGCGCCGAAATAGAGAAAAGGAGAAAGGATGGTTAGATTGAGAAGGAAGGAATGTGGCACAAGTTGGAGAGAAAGACACAAACGAAGGTGCAGATTAAGATAAATATTTGAAAGAATAGCTAGACTTCAAGAAATTTGGGGGGCAAAACAGAGAGAGTTATAGCAGCATTCAATTGCAAAGGGAGATAAATTGGGACAGAGTTGCTCTTTTGATGGGCATTTTTTTCCACAGTTTCCTTGGTAGCTTTTGTATGGGTTTCATTCATTAGAGCCCATAGAATGAAAAACATTCAAGGAGAGAAATATCACCAGTCAGCAGCCAGTGTACAGGGCTGTTTTTTTTCTCTCTCAGGCAATATTTCAACAGGCTTGACCTTCACATGCCAACAAACACAATGTGGTAATCATGGGGAAAACAATCAAAACGAATTTCCTCTTTTGTCCACCCGCTCCTTGTGGTGTTATTTAACTTTCATTCTGTCATGGATTTGGTTACTAGAGAAAACTATGTACTGTAAATTATTGTAGGTCAGTACTGCTTGATCAGAGAAGAACGTTGCCTGTAAGGAATATGTTCAACATCTATACTTAAGATATGAGTAGGATGAATGAACAGTATGAATAAAAGATGAAGGACATTGCATAATATATCCAGTGTTTTTTATGTCTGAGATAACTACATCTTCCCACGCCCCACCAAAGGGTCTACGTATGCCACAGAGCATCAGTTATAGTATACACTATATGTACAGTATAGGGCTGTTAGAAGCCCTGTGAGGAAAAGCTGAACAATTGAGCCTTTACCACGTAATCAGGCTGATTCACTGTTCAAGTTCAGCCATATTTACCCATTATTTACAGAACAGCTCACACATAACATTGGGGAAAAAAACAAATTATGGCAATGACATTAGAACAAAACAAAACAAAAAAAACACAAAAAAGGAAAACAGAGAGAGAAAAATAGCTGAGTATCAGTTTTCCATGGTTGTCAGCGCTAGGATTAATAGGAGCCATTTCACCATAATGAGCTGTTAAGCGTTAGCTGCCAAGAAGCCTCTTCGTTTGCCTTTGAGTTTGAGAATACTTTGTCTAATTATAACAGCCATCTCTGTCTCTCTCCCTCCTGCCACTGTCAACACTGGTCTACCTGTGTGGTGGCTGTCGGATTTCAGCTCTTGTTTGACCACATAATCAACTCCTGAAACAATCACCTGGAGATGAGATTTGTAATGATGTTGAACTGGCTTTATTGCATGTGAACCTGTTCGGTGACCAGACAACTTCCAGTCACCACCACACTACCAGTACCCAATTTAATAGTGACTGTTATGGGCTGAGAGACCTCTTTGCTCAAACATGAGCCAGAAAAAAAAGTGAAACACCACAAATGTCCTGGAACCTTTACTGTTTCGCTGGGATGTGGAAACCTTTTCTCAAGAAGCCACAATGAGTTCTCAGTAACCAAACTTGTGTAACATCAGACCAGCTATAAACCTAATAATAGTATAATGTAATACTGCTAAATTGCACATTTCCAAGTCAAGGCCTTCTGCTTTTGCAATATATACATGTCCAATATAAATCTAGAGAGTAAAACAGACACAGAGATTAATTTTTGAAGTCAGATCATGAATAAACACATGGTACAGTGCCTAGAACCAAAACAAAAGGGCAGTACACAGAGAATGTGAAGTTGTCGTCCTACCGTGTTGAATTTTGGGGATCACACTCATGCACATGCAATCTTAGATGATGATTATTGTGTGGTGTCATGAACAGAGCCCTGTCAGGGGGCATGAAGAAGGTGTTTCTTAACTCAAAACCTGAGACCTTGCATTTTCATTAAGCTTGAATCAGTCGGTCATCTTTACTTTATTCAACTCAAAAACCCATGCTAGTGTGAAAGATTTTTAAGAATGTTTTTATTTTATCCTATACTATTTTATCCTGGTGGTGCAGGAACAACGGTTTAAACGGTTTTAATTACTGGATATCAGAGAGAATACAAACCTTTATTTTTAAAGTTTTTACCAAGCTCTCTGTGCAGTAAGTTGTGTTTTTTTTTTTGTGTGTTTGTTTGTTTGTTTTTGGGGAGAAACTATAGCATGTAAATTAATTTTATATAGTATAATGAGGAGAAGAAAGTGCTCTCAAAACAACAAAACATTTTGTTTTTCACTGCTAAGGTTGATAAATGGGAGTCAGTCTCCATGACAAACAGTGAGTACAGGGAACTGCTGGAGCATCTGTTTGTGTCTTGGCATGGTGTGAAGTTGCCATAGTTGCCTGCACACAGTACTGACGCATCCTTGTCTCGGTGTGTGTGTCGATGCAAGGGTGTGTACACCATATTACTGGTTATACTTTGTAAATGTGTATGGATATTTGAGTGTGCATAGAGCAGATGTTTTTCTGTGTGACTGTGTTTGTGAATTTCCTACCAGCATAAGGGATCGGGGCATCCTTGTCCAGAGCTACCAGAGGAGGGTCCAGCAGCACCTTGTCCATGTTCTCTGTGATCATGCCATGGTAAGATGTCTCTATCCACGGCTTGTGCTTGTTCACTGGGGAGAGGGACAACAAGGAGGAATACCATAAATGTTACTGTCTTCCTTTCTACTTTTTCCTTCAATGCATGTTTCAATTTATAGCAAAAATGTGCATATCATGACTGGAATTCACATGCTTTGCTGTTTCTAATGTACACCATTGTAAATATGCTGAGGACTGAGAATGAGAAAACAGGAGGTAAGGAAACCCTCAACTTTTTAGATATATTACACTGTGATCATGACTGATCTCTTTTTACAGATGACAGGACTAATGAAGTCAGAGGGTGAACACTGTGAAAGATGCTGTATATAAATATTATATGCAAAAAGTCCTCTAACCTATATGACCATATGGGGCAGCTCATTAAATAATGCTCCTAACAAACCCACCAACATTAACAACGTATGTTACACAACCAAGCTTTATGGACCTTTTTTGTCATGTAAACAGCTATAAACACAGCGGTTGGCTAGCAGGCTAGTTAGCAGCATGCCATTGGTACTCCGTCATTTTGAGAGCTGTCATAAATATGATGCAACAGTTATAAAACATTGACAGTTTTATTACATTTTCCACACAAACTACTTGGTATGGTTTAGGAAAAAGAAATACTTGGTTAGGTTAAGGTACAAAAACTACTTGGTCACGTTTAGGAACAAAACCACAAGCCACACACTGGAATTGAACTCTTTCTGGAGGTGAAGTACTTTGTTTTGTGTACCTAGCCAGCCACCCCAACCTAAGGTAGACTTTGCGCCTTTATATAATACATCATATTATTTATTCATTTCCAGTCTCATTATACAGCATTACATTTTGGATATTCTTGCTCTAAAAAGGGCTTTGTGTTCTCTGACAAAGCACTGCCAAATGCCATAAACAATGTTTTTCCTCTGAACCAAGTCTTTGCAGTAGGCTTCAGGACTTCACTTCTACACTCTCTACACTTCACCCTGCACCATCATCCTTTTCTACAGAGCATTTTCATTGTTTTTCCTTCTCTTTACCTAGAGAATCCAACCACCATGGCACAGAATTGAATCAAAAGTCAGGAGGATCAACTGGAGATCACAGAAAAACAGGTCACCATCACAGTAACATTACTGACACGGTAAATGCAACTTCTGCTCTTGCAGCAGGAGATCACAAGTAGATAGAAACTGATGTACGAGAACAACCATACAGGACGTGCATGTCCACATATGTACACACACACACACACACATACACACACATATTGTATGCTCAGATCTCCGGTGTACAAGGGTAAGTCTCACCAGGGAGATGGGACGTCAACTTGACCTTTCAATCCACTGAAGAGAAACATTTTGTTTCATGCCAGTGAGCAGATGACATGTCCAGCTGGCAGTGATTTAAAATGCACCAACTGTTCCTAAAACCTTCCCACAGGTTTTCAACTGTTTGGAGAAATTTCAGTGGTTTTGCCCTATTATTCTATTTTCTTCCCCTTGCTTGTTTCTTCACTAAGTTGAGAAGTCAGGGTTACAGTACAAAAGGAAATGAGTGTTTGGCTTGTCAAGAAAAAATGTTTGCTTAAAGCAACAAAAACCATTCAAACCTCTGCAATTTTTTTTTTACCAAACCAGTTTTTCCAAACTTGTTGGTCACATCATCTTATACCATACATTTAACAACTTTAACCATGTATATTCTGACATTTAGTTGGGTTTGACACAAAAACACATTATTCTGATGAGATGGTGTATAATTAATAAGAGGTGTGCCTTTTTACATCCTGTTCATATTTGGCTTTATTTCACTGACAGAGACCTACTGATCATACAAGATGGGTTTCTCAATCCTGCTGAGACAGAGTAGAGAGTGGATTATAGAGAGCAAAAAAGAACCACAAAGGAAGACATTATTCATACCAGGAGTCTCATCTCATGCACATACAGGAGATTGAAAGCACTGCAGCACACAGCATGACTCTGCTCTGCTGGAAAGTGGAGAGACGAGACTTAAGCTCTGTCTCCGGGCAATGTTTAGGCATTTTTACACATGGAGTATTTTACTTGTAAAGGTAGAAAATCAATGCAGAAAAGCACATAGCATTCATGCTTTTATGGTGTAACGCAGGCACAGTAAAGCTCCTTCTCAATACTTACATCCTTTCTTGGAGTCACTCGTCTGTGTAAAATTTCCACCCAAAAGAAGATATGAAATGAACTGAAACTATCTTATAAAGAGCCTTCTAAACCAAGACCCTATTAGACTGAGGTGCTGAGGTGTCTATAAAACAGACTATTAAAATGAGCATTATTGAAGTAATTCATCATTCCTGTGTGCTTGCACTTGGCAGTGTAAATACAAATGAATCCATCATGCTCACATAGCATTTCATTTACACTTGAATATGTCTTCAGTTAGTCTAATATCAGCCCTGAGCTAGTGCAGTTTACTCATGGATGGCAGGTTCGCTTCCTGGCTCAAGGTCTTACATTTATCCCAAACAAATTGGGCGGTGGTTGAGGCAGCAAAGCTGTGACTCTTTAAAGTGCAACTAATATACCAGCTGTTTTGTAGAAAGATCACATACCAGAGCATGGAAACAGGCTATTTCCAAAACTATTTTCATGACATGTAGTACTGCAAATCCATTAGTAATGCATTTAACGTATTCATCCTTCACATCCTGGTTCTGAGGAGCAGCAATGAAACTAAAATTGAAGTAAGTTTGCATTTAAAGAGAGAAGTGGAATCTAAATGCCAGGACTACACTGCACTTGACTAAACAGGCACATTCCTGGGAAGTCTGTGAGCGCATGGGGTTGTTCAAATCCACAGTTCCTTAAGTCTGCAAGAGGTCTCTAAAGAGTCTGCATAGGGTACAGATTTCATTATAGAAAATTTGAATAACCCATAGCATTATGAAGATCCTTAGCTGAGGGTTTAATATTGATCAAATGTTGTCCTCAAGATAAAATTTACATATCATGCATAACTTGCTAAAATCAATACTATCCAAAGCCATTCAGAAAAATTCTTTGAAATGATTTACAGGTTCAGAAATTTCAATTTATCTCAGTGGAAAAACATGTGGTCTTTAGGTCTTGTCTCATAGCGCATTTCGTCTGATTGTGGTCCCGCACACTATGACTGTGACGACATTAGCATCCGTGTATCCATGAGGGCTAAGTCTGCAATATTTCTGGATATTTGGAGTCTGTCAAAAAAAAAAAAGAAAAGAAAAAACACCTCAGGCAGGAGCAGCTGCTGAGACAAAGCCAGCCCCACTATAAAATGTAACTTGCAGCTGCTTTATTTAAGATCACCTCCCAAACTCAAACAAGACTTGGGGCTCTATTTTCCTGAAATGAGGCACAGATGCCAACGTGTATAACTCCAGGTGTGTATGAGTTTAGACAGAGTTTGAGATTTGCAAGTTAGCATTTAGAAAAACATACAAGGTCACTTCACATTTAATCCCAGTGTCTCAACTTAAGACTTAAATAAAGATATACATAAGCCGTGCCAGTAGTGCATAAATCAAGCTATCACTTCCTCACCTATTCAGACTTTTGTAACTTTCTGGTTATTTCCATAAACCCATCCCACCTCCAGAGGCAATCTGACCTTCCCTCTGTCTTTAGTCACCTGTCTCTACTCTGCTCACCTGCATACCTGTTTCCCAGTCCCCACTTAGCCTCAGGTTAGATATACCAGCCTGATTCCCTCAGCCCTCAGCCAGAATGTCTTGTGTGCTTTCCCAGCCATAGTGTTCCTGCCATACTCACTTTCTCTGTCTGTCTGTTTTTGATCTGCCTGTTTGGATGCTATGCTTTTGTCATTTCCCTTGGACTTTGGCCTAGGCCTGAGTACATAACAAGTGGCAACATACAAGGCTGAGAAATGAAACCAGTGCGGAAGTGCCAAAACCTGCAGTTCCTCAAATGGCCACTTGGGGTTGAGTCTAAAAGGGAGTCAATCCCCCATAGTCTCCCATGTTGAAATGCCCAACTTTACAGCAGAAATAACATGTTTACATCCTAGTAGGAAAAATGGTTTGGTCTCTATAGCTAATTTCCCCTTCCATTACAACTGTACAGGAGGTGAATTTTTAAATAACGTGCCTGTTTAAATACTGAGGCTAAAAGTTAGGCATAACTAAGGGCATGGCCACGTTGAGTGACAGGTGGCAGGGCCCACCACAGGTGGTTAGCTGCTAGCTGTCTAGCGAGATCCATTCATGCTACACCTATTTGCCCATTTTTGGATTAGCCATAGCAGGCAGAGTGAAACGCTACCAATATGGTGGCCGCCAGACTTGAGCTTCAAAACCACTCGTCAGAAAAGCAATATATTACATCACGGTAGGTTTGTGTATCTTTATATACAGTCATCAGTTCACACATGGCCTTAGTTGGTGTGAAACTGTACAAGACATAAAGTTCACCAAAAAACTAAAGGTCTTTATATGAACATGAGTGCACAGAACATTGAGAAGGAACTAAATGGAAGGTGAGTTTTTTTACGGTTATCGCAGAGTGAAGTAATATGAAAAACAAGGAAACAGCATAGTTAAATGAAAGTGAAGGAAAAAACTGGCAACGATTTGGCAAAGAACAAGTGTGAGCTGCTGGCTTAAACATAGTCTCTTGATTACAGATTGAAAACATGTGAGAGTGATTAAAGCCAGTAATGAAAGTGATAATGCTGAGACAGATGAACATACAGAAATTGCATGGAATTGTGACATTTGGTGCCAGGAGAGTATGAAGGGCCTGAGCAATGGCATTGCAGCTGCAGGGAAATACAGCCCCAGGAGTCCATAGCCATACAAATGACAGCATGATTCAATAGCAGTCCATACAATAGTTAAGACCTAATGGTGGGCTGAGCTACTAACAGACATTGCCACCCCTTTAATTTTGCCTCTAGCACAGCAATTATACTATTTTTGTTGTAGCAGATTCCTCCTTTCATACTGTAAGGTTGTCACTGGCTGCAATATGCATGTCGTCTTTGGCCATTTCCTAAAGAACATCTG